CTGATAAATCTATTCTGGATCTTGTCTTCCCGCATCACCCCCAGTGCCCATCTCACCATTCTCATCTCTGCTGTCTCCATCTTCTCTGTCTGTTTCCTAGTCACCGCCACCGTCTCCATCCCATACAACATCGCAGGCCTAACAACGGTCTTATACACTTTTCCTTTCAACTTAGCCGACAGTTTCCTGTCACACAAAATCCCTGAGGTCCTCTTCCAGCTCAGCCAGGCTGATTGAATTCTGCTTCTTATCTCCTCCTCGCTGCCCCCATCTGCACTCACTACTGACCCGAGGTATTTGAAGTTCTCTACTTTCTTGACAGCTTCTCCTTGCAGGTAGATTGTTCCCTGTTCTGCTCCTTCTGTTGGTAGGTATTCGGTCTTCTTCCTGCTCACCTTCAAACCTGCCCTCTCGAGCGCGTCTCTCCACTGTTCCAGGTCTGTCTGCAGCTCTTCCTTGCTCTCTCTGCACAGTACCACGTCGTCCGCGAACATCATGTCCCACGGGGCTTCTTTCCTCACTTCTTTCGTCAGTACGTCCATGATGATGGTAAAAAGGAACGGACTGAGCGCTGATCCCTGATGTAGACCCACTTTTACTGCAAAGTCCTCTGTCAGTCCTGCCGCGCTTCTCACTGCTGTTCTCGCTCCCTCGTACATGTCCTGGATGGCTTCCACATAACATTCGGACACCCTCGCCTGGCGCATACATTCCCACAGTTCTTGTCTCGGGAACCTGTCGTATGCCTTCTCCAGATCAACAAACAGGCAGTGCAACTCCTGGCCTTCTCGCCACTTTTCCATCACCTGCCGCAGTGCGAAGATTGCATCTGTGGTACTTCTTCCTGGCATAAACCCGAACTGCTGGTCACCGATCTCAACTTCGCTCCTCAGTCTTGCTTCTACTACTCGCTCCCACAGCTTCATCGTGTGACTCATCAACTTTATTCCTCTGTAGTTTCCACATTCCTTGGAGTCACCCTTGCCTTTGTAGATAGGCATCAGCACACTTTTCCTCCACTCATCCGGCATCTTCCCTCCTTTCAGCAAGTTGTTCAACAGCTTCGTGAGCCACCCACTACCAACATCTCCCATCGACAGCCAAGCCTCCACTGGTATGTCATCGGGGCCTCTGGCTTTCCCTTTCTTCATCTTCTTCAGCACTGCTTTAACTTCACCTTCAGTGACTTCCTCTACTTCCCTCTCGTTCTTCCTCGCATCTTCTCTCTCTGCTCTCGGATTTTCTTGGTTAAGCAGGTCTTGAAAGTACTCCTTCCATCTTTGCTGCACAGCTTGTCCCTCCACCAAGACTTCTCCATTTTCGCTCTTAACCACCTTCACTTGCTGCACGTCCTGGCTTTGTCTGTTTCTCTGCTTGGCTATTCGGTACGCTTCATTCACTCCCTCTTTCGTCTCCAGACGCTCGTACAGATCCTGGAATGCTTCACTCTTTGCTATGGCAACAGCTCTCTTCGCTTCCCTCTTTGTTATCTTGTAATTCTCCTTGCTCCCTTCATCCCTGTTAACTTCCCACTGCTTCTTCGCTTCCTTTTTGTTTTCAACCGCCACTTTTACCTCTTCATTCCACCACCACGTTTCTTGATCTTCTCTTCTGCTCTTCCCCGAACCAGTACCGAATGTTTCTCTTGCGACATCTCTGATTGTGTTGGCCACCTCCTCGTAGCCTCCATTGCCCTCCATTACTTTACTTTCCAGCACCTTGTCACAAAAATTAAATTCTTCGGTTGACATATAATAAAAAAGTTCCGAAAGGAATATAAGATGAGAAACTAACGATGATTTAAAAAATCACCACCAAAAGAAATACACCATGCCATATACAATACATAAACACGCATGCCCCCTTATGTATGCATATGTATGATTGTATATATACATATATATATATATACATATATATATATATATATATATATATATATATATATATATATATATATATATAATACACACACACACATATATATAATGTATATAGGTATATCTATGCATATATATATATATATATATATATATATATATATATATATATATATATTTATATATATATATATATATA